GCTTAGTAGGCACATTCAGCCCTCAAAATGCCAGACAAAAAAAAATGACTCCACTAAACAGCCCCTATCTCACAGTCTATATGCACCGAATTTCATTTGATATTAAAAATCAAAAATTTTATAGTGGCGAGCCACTTTCTTGGGACACCCGGTATACATCGATTCTGATTATTATTATTATGCTCTTGCACTTCGCCCGAACAAAATGCTGTTTCGTGTTCACAAAAGCGTTTTAATGTTTTTCTGAACTGATTTCTTATGTAACGAAACGGGATTTTGTTGACCATAAAATTCTACAACTTTGCTCTAATTTAGCCGATCTCGTACTTCTCACCGTTTCCGAGATCCCAATAGTTGACCAAGAAAAAAGGAAACCCTATGTATACACACGTTTGGGTCACTGGACGTTGGTCCAACTTTTAACCATATTATATGTCTAGAAAATCCATCAATACACCCATTTATACATAATCCATATGGCTTTAATTTATCATAGGAATCTAAATGCCAAAGAAAATTTGGGCTATTGCTGTAGTATTGCCTGCGTCGTAATCGCTTTCTACTTCGTAGGTCAACTCCTTCCGGATCCAAAACCTGTAGTAACTCTCTAACTACATCCTGTGTTACAGTTAAGTTATGCTGAATACACCTGAGGTGCATCCACTTATATCCATGTAATTGCCCAAATTTTTGTATTTCCCTTTCAAGAAATCGCACAACGTCTTCAATTGGGGAGAAATTTTTTCTTCGGAAAAGACGCAAATTAGACAATTTACGTTTAAGAGTTCGTAAGGGCATTCTTATATTATGAATATGTTTTAGAAATGCCACAATTTCTTTATGTTGAAATCCAAGCGAAATAGCTATTTACCTAACAAGTGCGGAAAATGAATTTTTTCGCACGCGGCTGTCCTTCACCGAATGACGCGTAGCGGAGTTCGGTGATGCAGCCGAGTGCGGAAAAATAGTTTCCGCAAGTGTTAGGTACAATATTTTTCCTACAGGCGAAAAAAGGTAAAATTTTTCTTTTTTTTTGACATATCAGTGCGGTAAAATTTTTTCCGCACTGACAGCCGTGCGGAAAAACTTTTTCCGCACTGATATGTCAAAAAAAAAAAGTTTTACCGCACCGTGCGGGAAAACTCATTTTCCGCACGCATATCAGTGCGGAAAATCGATTTTTCCGCATGGCTGTAGGAAAAGTACTTTTCAATGAGGGTGTTAACTTCTACCTAAAATGAAATAAAGACAAATAGAAAAAGGTAACACGTGCTATTATTCTAAAAACTACTTCCAGGCAGTTCCACTACCTAATACCCCAACTAAAGACCAAAAGGTGAAAGTTTATAATCGGATTTTAAATTGCACAATTTTTTGAACTTCATGTTTGACTGAACCCTACTCCTGAACATGCATTTAATGGAGAGGTATCTATAAATAACAATACTTACCTCGTCTTCGGAGTCACCCATAGCAAATTGTAGAGAACGTACTGCAACACTAAAACTACGAAAAACGAATGGAGAAGTAATTTCTAATTTCTTCCAAAACGCAGACTAAAAACAGTGCGACTGAAGTAAATCGAAAGATGACTGTTTATACGCATCTAATATTCCGACTTATAAGTCGGAATCACCTTATTCCGACTTATATGTCAGAATTCCGACTTATAAGTCAGAATTCCAACTTATAAGTCAGAATTCCGACTTATAAGTCAGAATTCCGACTTATAAGTCAGAATTCTGACTTATAAGTCGGAATCCTCTTATTCCGACTTATAAGTCGGAATTTAATACGGGAAAAAAAATCACAAAGTGGCCCTTCTACGCTTTCGTAGTATCGTATATTTACTTAATTTCAATATTTAAATACTAAAATTATAATTTTTGGGCATTTGTGCATTCACTGGAACCCCAAAATAACCAAAGAACTAGGCGATGGATATTTATTTTTGCAGATGTCTAAAAAAAAGAATATCTAAGATTTAAATACACTGAAAAAGATCTAGAACTAGCAATAAATGCTGTAAGAAATGGAGAGGTTTCCCAAAATGCTGCTAGCAAACAATATAATATCCCAAAAGTAACACTGAACAACAAAGTGAGAGAACTAGTTCCCATGGAACGAAAAATGGGACTGAAAACTGTATTATCAAAAGCGGAGGAGGCCATGCTTTCAAACTAGATAATCGGAAAGGCGAAGCTAAGTTTTCCAATGCACGTCCATGACGTTCAAACAGTAGTACAGAAAATTCTTTTAGCAAGCAATAGGAATAATCCGTTCACCAACAGCAAACCCGCAAAAAAATGGCTTTCCCTTTTTCTAAATAAAAGACCGGAAATTTCTAAAGGAAATACGAAAATAATTTCAAAGGCTTGTGCTGCTGTGACAGAGGAGGGAATAAGGGATTGGTTTAGGGATTTAAAAAGATTCATCGACGACGTGAGCCTGCAGGAGGTTTTCCAAAATCCAAACCGTATATTGAACGCTGATGAGCTGGGTATGCAGTTTTGCCCTAAAACTGGCAAGCTTCTTGATCCTAAAAAATATAAAGACTTTCATATGATAAGTAGTGGCCCAGATAAGAAGAGCATGACGGTTCTGTGTAATTTCTCGGCATCCGGCCTATGAGTTCCACCAATGTTGGTGGCACCCTATAAACGCATACCCAGAGACGTTGCAGCTTCTGTACCAGATTCTTATTTTCTTGGATGATCAGATTCCGGTTGGATGACATCCGAGACCTTTTACGAATATGTAGCTTATTGCTTTTTTCCATGGTTAGTGGAAAACAGCATACAATATCCCATTATCCTATTTCTGGATGGACACAAATCCCACATTAATATCGAACTGTTTGAATTTTGCTGAGAAAAACAAATAGTCCTGCAGCCGTACCCTGTAACAAAATAGAGAAGAAATTTCCTTTCCATGATAAAAAATCGACGAAACGGAACTCCCTAACCCCAGTCGGCTATACTCGCTACCCCGAACTACCTGCTCGTGTCAAAAGAAATAGAAAGACCCTTTCGGTTTTGCTATTTTTCCTTTTCATTCTACACAATCACAAATGACATAAGCTTATCTTCGTCTATTTTTTTTTTCTTCTTAATATGGTTTTTTGTTTTGATTTGTGATCAAAGACTGACATACATATTTTTAATATGACGACTGATAATTTGTTTGATATTGGCGACTGCTACCTATTGATGGGAATAGCAGTGAAACTAATCATAAATGGCAGGAATCAAGAAATCATTTAACTATGAAAAGGACTATGGGACTGTTAGACTGTACATATTACAGACAACATAATAGACAATTCCTCCATATAAAAGAATCATGGTTGGCACCCCCAGAATTCGCATTTACATCGAGAATCTTGGCTTTTTATCACGTCCTTTTCTGCTTGAGTCATTGGAACCTTTATCCAGCCTGGTGTAATGGTTACAATGGGTATACACCTCCGAAAGACCTCAATATGCAAAGACAAGATGAATAAAAAATGAAAATAATAACATTGACAATCAAATAATAACCTGTCAAAACACCGGTATATTATTGAAAATCGAAAAAGTTTAAAATCTGTCACAATGTTCTCAGATTGGTTAGTACGCATTTCTCTATAAACGAAGTTACTCGAAGATTTCAGGAAAAAGTCATAGAGAGTAGCATCTGTCGATAGAAAGAAATTTCTTTTCTTTGCTATTATTTTTCTATTTCTATTTCTATCGATTTAGAGAGTTCGCCTGCTGTACTGCTTACTTCCCAACGCAATCCACATATTACAGCCGTGCGATGTGTCTATTTTCAAACCATTGAAAACAGCCTAGAAAAAAATAATATTGGGCCACAAGCGAGAAACAAATAGGTACCTAACTAAATCGAGTTTTGCACCGTTATTTAAAAAAGCTTATGATAATTCCATAAGTGATAATATAATTAGGAATGGATTTCGCACCTGTGGACTTCATCCTTGTGACGCAGAAGCGGTTGATTATAGTAAATGTATATCTTTTCGAAGAAAGGAATGATTTCCACGGACTGAAACTCAGGGAACCAACCATTCAATATCAGATGATTTCAAAGCTGTCCTGAAAGTACTGTAGGCGAACTCTCTAACTCGATAGAAATAGAAATAGAAAAATAATAGCAAAGAAAAAAAAATTCTTTCTATCGACAAATGCTACTCTCTATGACTTTTTCCGGGAATTTTCGAGCAAGTTCGGTTATAGAGAAATGCATACTAACCAATATGAAAACATTGTGAGTGATTTTAGATTTTTGCGCTTTTCAATAATAAACCGGTGTTTTTGACAGTTAATAATTTTTGATTGTCAATGTTATTTTTTTCATTTATTTATTGTGTCTTTGCATATTGAGCTCTTTCGGAGGTGTATACCCATTGTAACCGTTATACCAGGCTGGATAAAGGTTCCCATGACCCAAGCAGAAAAAGAAGTTAAAAAAAGGCCAAATTATTCTCAATGCAAATGCGAAATATGGGGGTGCCAGTCATGATTTTTTTATATGGAGGAATTCTCAATTATTTCGTCTGTATAATGTACGGTTTACTTCTCCACTGTTCTAGCTCCCATAGTCCAATTCATAGTTGAATGATTTCTTAATTATTCTCATGTATGCTTATTAGTTTCACTGCTATTTCTGTCAACATCAAACAAATTTATGTCACTTTTTAATCCCAAATAAAAACAAAAAATCAAAAAAAAAAATTAGACGAAGATAAGCTTACGTCAATTGTGATTGTGTAGAATGAAAAGGAACAATAGCAAGACCGACAGGGTCTTTCTATTTCTTTTGACACGAGCAGGTAGTTCGGGGTAGCGATTCTAGCCGAGTGGGGTTAAGGAGTTCCGTTTCGTCGATTTTCTATCATGGGAAGGAAATTTCTTCTATATGTTGTTACAGAGTACGGCTGCTGAACTACTATTACGAATCGCGACTTTTAGGAAATGAAACACAAGATGATGGTATTCGAGACCTTTTCAAATTTTGTCAACATCAGATATCTTCTACTTCTTCTGGAACTAACTGCGATAGAAAATCTTCATGCAGAACCGGAGAACAACGCTGATATACCTGATAAGATGGAAGAAACCAAAAATAACTGCACTTTGGATGAGTTCATTCCTGGAGATTTTGTCATAGGTATGTAAGGATTAAATTGAAATAATTTAAAATACAAAAAAATGTGCTCTATTCTTTAGCTATGATGGGGATGGAGAATATTATCCAGGACAGATAGAGAATATTAATGATGGAGAATATGAAATAAGCACCATGGAATTTTCTAAAACGTCAAAGTTGTGGAAGTGGCCAAACAGAAAAGACAAAATATGGTACAAAAAAATTACATTCTAGAGAAAATATCTGCACCCAAAGCAGGAAACTCTAGAGGATTTTATAAAGTTGAGAAATATACAAAGTATATGTCGGAGTGAATAAGGTTTTGATATTTGTTTTATTTATAAATATATCGAAATATTAATAGAAGTATCTTGTTCATTTACTGGATTGGTGAAGTTCATTAACTAGTGTAGTCAAATTTTAAGCATTTTTGAATTTGGCGCGTTTCCTCTATTTGTTGCTACTCTGCATGTTTGGCAACGTTGCTTGGCATCTGACGTTAGTGACATCCGTTATGTGTCAATACTGCCAGGTATGCTCCTGTCTAATTTTGGCGGTATCGCCCTCTTCTCCCATGATTATGTCGGGATCAAGACGCACAATTATGTTCCCCGTAAGTTTGCTTAATTAAACGTTAATTAGTCGATTAGTGTTGTTTGATTTTATCGTGGCAACCAAAAGTAGTATCCCTCCACCATTATTTCGTCTTTTACTACAGCTCAGGTGTGGGGTTGCACGATAAAACACATCAACGTTGTTTTCGAGGTTATGTATTGAATTTATGATGAATAATCCGAATAATCCCACAAGTTATGACGACTCCGAGGGCATCGCTCAAGCAGGGTTTGATAGGCCGAGTAGCCCTACGAATTTTCACGATGCCCAGGATACAGAAAACACAGCATCCAGTGCGACAATCAATGAGATTGTACAGGCCACAGTCAGGGCCATGATTTCTTTCGACAATCTGCGTCAACGTGACCAGGACAGGCAACGGGCGCCCCAAAATCTGACAGTGGAGCCCCCAAAGAAATACAAAAATGACGAAGTTGGAATGTTGTTGCCCCAATTTGCTGGCGCTGGCCAAGATGTCGAAATTTGGTTGCAAAGAGTTGAGGCTGTGCAACAAACCTATAATGTAGAACCTAAAATTATGATGCTGATTGCAGTTTGTAAATTATGTGACCAAGCCCGATCGTGGTACCATTCAAAGACTGAGCTTGTTATGTTGGAATGGGATGATTTGAAGATCGAGCTGAGGAAAATGTTTGGTTCAAGATTAGACAGAGTTTCCAGGATGCGTCGCTTTGAAGCCAGAAAATGGAAAAGAGGTGAAAAGTTTTCAGTTTATTTCCACGACAAGATTATGCTGGGTAATTGTCTGAACTTACCCGAATGTGATTTAATTGATTACATCATTGATGGCTTCACAAACGAATCCTTGCAGTCCCAGGCACGAATCAAAGACTTTAATTCTCTGGATGAGATGCTACGTATTATGTCCAATGTTAGTGCTATTGAGAGAGGCAATGCCCCTCCTAGTGTCCGAGGGATTAATTCAAATGGTAGCCTAGGTCCAATTAGAGGCGCCCCAAATCCTTCGCCTTCTTCGAGCCAAGATGGTTCGAGAAACAAGTGTTTCAATTGTTTTGCAACAGGGCATTTTGCTAGTGCCTGCCCCAAGCCAAAACGAGAACGTGGATCCTGCTTTTCATGTGGTAAGCGAGATCAACAGGTTAGAAATTGCCCAGATAAGGTTAGGTTGGCACCCGCTGACTCTACTACGACTACGATGTGTGTAGAGCCCCAACTTGTCCAGAACAATGATCAAGACATTCAGGTAACGAGTGTGAAAACCAATTTTAATAATGTTTATGAACTTGATGTATTGCTTAAATTTGAAGTTGAAAATGTTTACAATTCTATTAATTTAACTGCTATGTTGGACACTGGTAGTCCAATAAGTCTCATTAAAGCCAAATTCTTGCCAGATGTATGTATTGATAAAGATTCTGTCATTGAACAAAAATATTTTGGCCTTAATGGAGCTAATTTGAATATTTTAGGAATTTTTAATGGCACTGTTTTTATTGACAAGGTCAGGGTACCCATAATTTTTCATGTTTTCTCGAACGAAACGATGTCATTTGGTGCTCTTGTAGGTAGAGATTTCACTTCTTTGCCTAATTTTAAAATTACATTGACCGATTGTGTTAGCGTTGAAAGTATTTCCGAACCTCATACAGTTTCTAATGATTTTATTGATTTCCCAAATGAAATTCTCCACATTGATTATGAGTTTAATGATTTGCAAGCCTTAAATATTAATTCTAAATTAGACCCTGAAACTCACAACAAAATCGAGACACTGTTTGTAGAAGAATATTTAAATGCCCCAAGACCAGAGAAGCCCCAAGTTGATTTTAGAATGAAAATTTGTGTTAGTAATGATCAACCTATTTCGTTTCGTCCTAGAAAGTTGGCCTACGACGAAAAATTAGAGTTACAAAAAATTATTGAGGATTTATTGAAAGAAAATATTATTAGAGAAAGCGATTCACCCTATTGTAGCCCCATTGTTTTAGTCAATAAAAAGAATGGTTCCAAAAGGTTGTGTGTGGACTATAGGTCAATTAACAAAATTATAATTAGGGATAATTATCCAATTCCACTCATTGATGACCAATTGGACCTTCTTAAAAATAAAACCTATTTTACTTCCCTGGACTTAAAAAATTCCTTCCATCAAGTTAGGATGGATGATGATTCGGTCAAGTATACAAGCTTTATTTGTCCTTTAGGGCAGTTTGAGTTCTTGAGAATGCCGTTTGGAATGTCAAACTCTCCGTCTGTGTTTATGAGATTTGTAAATAAAATTTTTAAAGAATTAATTAGGGAGCAAAAAATTTTGATATACTTAGACGACATCCTTATTGCTACTTCAGATTTGGATAGCCATTTGAAAATTTTATCTGAAGTGTTTGCGTTATTAACAGTTAACTTACTTGAATTGAGGATAAATAAATGTTCATTCTTACAGACCGAAATTCTTTATTTGGGTTATATAATTAATTGTGATGGTATCAAACCCAATCCCCAGAATGTTCAGGCTATGATTGATTATCCAATTCCGACCACGACTAGGAAAGTCCAACAGTTTTTAGGACTCTCCTCATATTTCAGACGCTTCATACCTTCGTTTTCCATATTAGCAAGACCCCTTTATGACTTGTTGAGAAAGGGAAAATCTTTTGAATTCGGAGCTAGTCAGTTAGAAGCGTTTAATGTTTTGAAGTCTAAATTAATCCAGGCCCCTGTGTTAGCGATTTTCTCACCAAGTTTGGAGACCGAACTGCATTGTGATGCAAGTGCTATTGGTTTCGGTGCGATCCTTTTACAGAGGCAAAAAAAAATAATTTGTTTCAGCCCGTTTTTTACTTTAGCAAGAGAGCTTCTGAACCAGAATCTAAGTTACATAGCTATGAGCTAGAAATGTTAGCTATAGTAAGTGCATTGGAAAGATTCCGAATTTATTTGCAAGGTTTGCCTAGGTTCAAAATTGTCACAGATTGTAATTCAATTAAGTTAGCCCTTAACAAGAAAGAGATCAATCGACGTATAAACAGATGGGCCTTGGTACTCCAAAATTATAACTATACTTTAGAGCATCGCGAAGGCAATCGAATGAAACATGTCGATGCATTAAGTCGTGCCAATAGTGTGTTAGTTCTTGAGGAAAACACTTTTGAGCAGAATCTTTCGATCGCCCAAAATCTCGACCCTGAAATAAAAATTATTAAAGATAAGCTTATTCATTGTGATGACAAAAATTTTGAGTTAAGAAATGGCCTCGTTTATAGGAAATTTAAAGATAAGTCAAAAACACTTTTTTATGTCCCCTGTTCAATGGAAAGTAAGGTGATTTTCAATTGTCATGACATGCTAGGCCATGTAGCCATTGACAAAACTGCCGAGTATATTTCAAGAGTTTATTGGTTCCCCAATCTGATAGATAAAGTTAAAAGTTATGTAAAAAATTGTATTAAGTGCATTTCGTATTCTGCCAAGAAGTCAGAAGGAGTCCTCCACAATATTCCTAAAGGAGACAAGCCCTTTTTGACCCTCCATATAGACCATTATGGCCCCCTTGAAAAATCCCCCACCCAGAAAAAATATGTTTTTGAAGTTGTGGATGCCTTCACTAAATTTGTCAAGCTTTATGCTGTCAAAAGTACTAAGACTGTCGAAGTTGTTCATAAGCTGGAGGAATATTTTCAACATTATAGTCGTCCGATGAAAATTATTTCTGACAGAGGAACTGCCTTTACGTCATTAGAATTTGAGAATTTTTTGTCACAGAATAATGTTACTCATGTGAAAATTGCTACGGGTTCCCCAAAGTCGAATGGCCAAATAGAGGGTATAAATAGAGACCTAACCCCTATGTTGTCGAAGCTTGCGGAAACAAAGAATCAGTGGCCCAAGTTTCTCCCAGATGTTGAGTTCGCAATCAATAATTCTCATTGTCGTTCTATTGGAACAACCCCTTCAATTTTACTATTCGGTGTGAATCAGAGAGATCAGGATGATCTCAGAAATTTTTTAGAATCTGAAATAAATTATGAGAGAAATTTAGAAGAAGTTAGATCAGAAGCCCAAAAGCAAAATATTAGAGTCCAAGAATATAATAAAAAATACTTTGATAAAAAACATAGACCCCCACATAAATATAAATTAGGCGATTATGTTATGTTGAAAAATGTTGACGTGACCCCGGGAGTTAACAAAAAATTAATCCCAAAGTTTCGAGGTCCTTACGAAATTAAAAAAATACTTGACAATGACCGATACTTAGTAACAGATGTTGAGAATTTTCAGTTGACTCAGAGACCTTTTGAAGGAGTTTCTAGTCCAGACAACATGAAATTGTGGTTAGAATAACTTTGTTATTAGCCTGCCCTAAATTTTATGTTGTAAATTGAATTTTTTGTACAATATGTTCTCAATTATGATTATTATGCCTCTATTATGATTATGCCCTTATTATGTCCCCATTATGATTATTATGTCTTTATTATGATTATGATTATGCCCTTATTATGTCCCTATTATGATTATTATGTACTTTTATGATTATGTTCTCATCATTATTATGATTATGATGTTACCATTTATTATTATGCCCTCATTATGAATATTACCTATTACTTATTATGACACTGATTATGCTATGT